CTATCATATATATATATGTGTGTGTGTGTGTGTGTGTGTGATTGAATTGAGTATGCATTTTTCCTTTTTATATATATAATTTTTTTTTATCAAATCAAATCAATAATCTAAGGATTATTATCTATTCAAAACCTAGGCTCGATACCACATGTAAACTTCATTCATAAAGATCAAAACATAAATCATACCATGCAATGATCAAGACATAAATCATTCATGCCTATTTAAGATCTTGAATATAATAATAATCACATAGATGAAGCGAATAAGTTACTTACCTTGAGTGGAATTCAACATGATGTAGAGAGAGCTATTAACAATCACAAACCTTATAAATTAGTTTTTCTCCCTTAACCCTCTTTTCGTAGCAGGTGGCTTGATGGATAGCCAAAATACGTATGTTCCGTATTTTATGTTTTTGTCCGCATACCTCTTTAGGATAGGGAGATGACTAATTTATATATCTGTTAACATTAAGGAGGTGTTTGATAACCTAATTAAGTAACTTAAAAAATTAAGTTGTACTACTTAATATAAAAATCTTGTTTGATAACTTAGATGATCTCATATTAAAACTTTAAGTTTAGTTAAAATCTACTTAATCGGATAAGTTAAAATTTTTAACTTATCCGATTAAGTCAAACTATCTAAAACATACTCTCTCTCTCTCTCTCTCTCTCTATATATATATATATATATATATATATCGAATTTATAAATTATAATAATATATTTTGAAAAATAAAATACTCATTTGAAAAGCATAAAAATAATTCATTATATAAATTATAATAATATATTTTTAAAAAAATAAAACATCGACGTTAGAAAATTTTATTCCAAAATTTATATATTAAAAAATCAAATTTATTAACAAATAAAATTATATCAAAAATTAATTTGATGAGAATTTTAGTAAGAAAAAAATAATTGAAAAAAATAAAATTTAAACAATAAGAGTAATATAATCGGATACATATGTTCAAACTAAAATCTTAAAAATATAATATATATTCTATTATCTTCAAACATGTTTATTATATTCGATACTTAATTTTCGGTAAATATCAAACGACTTGTCGGGAACATATTCGAGTACTTAACGATTCGAGCACTTAAAATTCAATACTTAATAGATTCAGCACTTAATTTTCAGTTTTATCAAACACCACTTAAAACTTGTACGCCGATCAAGTACTAAATTAACGATCCAGATTTAACATATTATTAAATTAAAAAAATCCTAAACCAACTTAACGTGGGCTTACAAAAATATGGGTCATAACATCGGGCCATATTTCTTATATAATATTGTTCTAATTAGGAAATAATTAAGAAAGTTATCAAGAATAAAATTAATACGTATATAAATATGAATGATAATGTAAACCGATATGGAAAGCAGGACCGTGGATGTTCTGGGTATTTCGATAGTATATATGAATCGTATCGCTAGATTTAGTTGAAGCAATAATTAATATAAGCATGCAGTAGAATTATTATTGGAATTAAGGTCAAATATATGAGTACAACAACCACGATGGAAGATTTTAATTTCTGCATGCATGTTATCAATTTCTAGCTAGCTAGTTACCGTTCATTACGGTCTGTATATACCTTTTTTTCTTAATATTAAACCTACCTACCTACCCACCTAGAAATTAAATAGAAGCCCCCTTTGCATAGGTAATAATATATAGGTGTAATAAAAACCATAATTAAATTTTTAACCTTATCGTAGTTAAAACAGAATCATAAAAATTGGCTTTCGATCGCATTGTTTGTCTACTAATTAATCTTATTTTTTATGTCCCCTCGATAAGAGGGTTTCTAGGTCTCTATAATTAAATCATTCCAACAACATTATATATATATATATATATATATATATATATATATAGTTGATGAATGGATTTGTTTTCTATGTTATCATCTAGGGTTTAATTCTTAAAAAAAGTCTTTAAATGTATTATTTTGTTTTATGAATACATTATTACGAATAAAAATGGTCAGCTTAAGTTCCTATGATCAAGAAATTAAGAACTTAATTTTGACACACGAAAGGTTGTTCGAAATTACTTTTATGTTAACACCTAGTTAGTATATTTGCATTTTGCAGATTGTAATTAATATCGATGAATGTAATTTTCTTACCTAAACTGTAATTAATTTCATGGCTGTTACTTGTCACGAGGTTAATTACTTGTATATTGAGAAGACGATGAGATCCCTTAATAAGCTGGGGCATAATGTATGTTTAGAGTTGAAGGGTAGAAAACGAGGATAAAAACTAGTAGTACTTAAAATAATCACACGACTGCTACAACAAGCAAGCCCACCAAAGGGCAAGTTGTTGGTCGGTATTCCGCCCGAGGCAAGAGTTCTTTCTTTTTTTCAAAAAAAAAAAAAAATTGAAGAGAGGAATTTCAACTTCAGATTTGACCGAACACAACTATCTATATATCAATTCTTAACCAGCTAACATCATGATGTTATATACAGAAAATTCTAATTGTATACTCCTCTTTTGTTATGCGATATTTATTTTTCTGTGGCTGAATGGTATCATCTGGGGTTTTTATTGGCAGGCTGATTATTCGGTTTTATCATTGGAAGATGTTGGTTGAATCTTGAGGGATATATATAACACAAAGATTAATTAGAAAAATAAGTCAAACAACTAATCTACATTATTGAAGTACCTAACAAACTATCTTAATTTTGTTTTTCAACTCCAAATAAAAATATGGGAATCTATTTAGCACGGGATATATAGAGGTTTAAGCAGAACTTTTCTTGCACCGCAGACCATTCGTTTTTAAAATTTATAATCTCCTAAGAGGTTCACTTGGTAATTAAGATTTTTTTTAATATTTTTGGATTTAAATTTTAAAACCAACATACAGGAGAATTTATCAAATCGTTAATAAAAAAAAAAAATAGTCTTCGTTGATATATAAACTAGTCCAAAAATAATTTTATCATAAAAAAAAAGAGAAATTTAATAGTCCATTCATTATTCGTAGCATCCTAGTATTAATTACTAGCCAAAGTTTAGTCTAAAATTTGGAGTGATCAAGAGACTATAAAAAAAAAATGTCATTTCGATCGCTTTCTCAAATTGAGAAAAGAAACAAATTAAAATGTCAGCCCCCGATTAGAATATATAATTAATTGAAAATGCACTTGGCGCGTGGTGATTGTTACAAATCAAGCTAATTAGGTTAATTAATCAAGGAAGTGTTAAGAATCGTTAAATATAGTTTAATCAAATTTTGAAAAATACAAATTAGATCCGTTAAATGTCCTAGAAACAAGCATCCATGGAAAAAAAGTAAACTAATAGCTTAATTTACGATAAAGAAAATTTTTATAACATTTAAAGAATATCTAATATATATATTCATTAGTTACTCGTTGGATTAGTTTTTGAACAGATACATAAAAAATAATAATTACGTCAGTATTCACTATAAGTGATAAAAAAGATTTTTATATTAATTTTAATTTTTTTTTTGTTTATTTTTCTTTATGGAATAACTTACACTAGTTAATTTTTGAGTATCATACAAATTTTTCTTACAACAAACTGATGGATCATCTCAATTAAGTTGCTGCATGCAGTGCTTGTTGACTATTAATTTTGTGCTCTTGCTTAGATTATTTTGTTGAGTTTATTTCTTATCCATTTAGGAACTTTGCTCAAGTATGAATATCTTAGTGGATCATCTCCAGTAGCAAAAACTATTCCTCCTCAATTTTAAATGATTGGCTTCTTGGTTCCAATCCGGCACATATTAAATTTGGTCATATTGATGAAAGCAATACGTTCCTGCCCTGATATCATTAGATCCTCTATTTCATCGGTTTTTTTTTTTAACGAGATTTTGTTATCTATAAAAGCACTTCTAGATACTCTCTGTGTCTGTATATATATATATATATATATATATATGATCAAAATTTTAAATAATATATATATATATTTTTTAAATGTCATTTGTTAAAAAAAAAACCAATTATTCTTTCTATTTTGTATTCTTCGTTAACAAAAAATCAATATTCTTTATATTTTTTCTTATACACACAAATACTTTTAGTAATTTTTTTTTCAAAAAACAATATTTTTACATGAAAAATATTTATTATTATAGAGAATTTTCTGTACATCAAAATTTTAAAAGTAAAATATTTTTATTAGTATGTTATTTTTTCCATAAACTTCATAGTTAATCAGTTTAATAATTTTTTTATTTATCATTTTAATTTTGAATAGATTTTCTAACGAACAATTTTAGCAAAAAAAAGCTAAGATGACATAATAATTAATAATTTATTTAAACTGTGTAAAAAATAAAAAAATAAAAAACGATCTCTTTTTTAAAACGGAAAAAGTATTACTATTACTAATTAATAGATAATTTGGAATAATCAAAAGATAACTACCCCATGCATGCCATCTGGTGAAGGAAAAGGCATGATAATTAGGTGGATCGGTGTGGTGTTAACGAGTTCGAACATATTATTATTATTAGTTTTGGTTGAAAAAAGCAGAAAGTGAGTAGGATGAGTTTGAACATGTTATCAAACACGGGCGATACGAAATTTCCCAAGTCTCACCAACCACAACCTTACCACCATGCAGTACTCCCGCTAGTCAAATTTACCCTTCTACTCCAATCGCCAATATTGATCCACAAAGACTCCACGCTCCATAATTTGTACCTTTAGATTATTCCAAATCAATGGCCACAATTGAGTTTCAACAAACCCACTTTGTCCCCTCATGCTTACCTACCAACCTCTATGCATAATATTGAAGACTAACTATCTATTTAAGCCCCACATCTCTCCCTCTCTTTTACTCAGGAAATCCCCTCACACCAGAGCCCAAGATTTCCTCTACCTCTACCGCTACTTCTCTTCCTCCTTCCCTCACAATAACAATCTTCTTAACTTGTTCTCTCTCATTGAAGCTTTAATTTCTTATAAAACAAGAAATGGAGGCAGTCACCAAGAACGGCTACCAAAATGGTTCTTTGGACAGTTTGTGCTCCACCACCCAAAATGATCCACTCAACTGGGGTGTGGCTGCTGAGGCAATGAAAGGAAGCCATTTGGATGAAGTGAAACGTATGATAGCTGAGTATAGGAAGCCTGTTGTCAATCTTGGAGGTCAGACCTTGACCATTGCTCAGGTTGCATCCATTGCTGGTCATGAAGCGAGTGATGTCAAGGTGGAGCTTTCTGAATCTGCAAGACCTCGCGTCAAGGCTAGCAGTGACTGGGTCATGGATAGCATGGACAAAGGAACTGATAGTTATGGTGTTACTACTGGTTTTGGTGCCACTTCTCATAGAAGAACCAAACAAGGTGGCGCTCTTCAAAGGGAACTCATTAGGTGAGCAAATTTAATAACTCCAAATTTAAGTAAATGTTTTGTACTTTAAGATTTTTCTTAACGTAGTTGGTGTGAGAGTGAGTGAGAGACTTGTTCACACAAAGAGTCCAGAGGTCTTCGCCTTAATTAAGAAGTTATACAAAAGGAGACGAAGTTGGTAACTCGATCGAGTTGACTCAATGAGTTTCAAATATTCTCTTCTACCATGAGGAAATTAAACATCACTCATCCATGAAATAGTGATGTCAAGGTGGGTGGGATGGGATTTGACTCCGACCGAGTCGTACAGGGGGTAATATGGCCGTCCATTCGATGAGTTGTAGAGTCCTGAAAAGAGCAGGAAAAAGTAGAGTGTGGTAGTCTGGTAGAGAAAGTTGCCATTTCAAAGACTTTATGACCCTAAGGCCCCAAAGTGGCACGGTCCAACCGGACTCCCATAAAAAGTTTGGCATTCAACTTAATTCATTATTTTCCCATAAAACAGGGGAAAATAATTAATGACTTCAAGAAATTTTAAGTACTACTACTATTATTATTATTATAATTATTGAACTTATAAGATTAGAGGTAAAATCGATCAAATTCTAAGTAGAATTAAGATTATTTATTTATTTTTATTTTGTTTTGGTTAGGACAATAAGAAGTTGTCAATACAAGCTACCAAACTTTTAAACAAAAGTAGTAACTTCCATATTTTTATTAATTTATTCTGGATGGTGTCTTCAAGTCTCCACAAACACCTTACATTAATATTCAATTGGAAAGTTTTGGCGAGATCGATCACCAAACCTGCAGTTGAGATTTCCCTCTCAACTCTATTTTATTCTTCCAATATTTCTTGAAATTGTTAGGATGGACTTGCATGTTTTGGTTGTAGCTGCTAGATAGAATGGCCAATGACATTATTTAAGCGAATGCATCAATTTAATTATTTGTTAATGGTGTTTATTTATTTCTTTATTTTTTCTCTCTTCAGATTCTTGAATGCTGGGATCTTTGGCAATGGAACAGAAACAAGCCACACGCTGCCTCACCCAGCAACCAGAGCAGCTATGCTTGTCAGGATCAACACTCTCCTCCAAGGCTACTCTGGCATCAGATTTGAAATCTTGGAAGCAATTACCAAGCTCCTCAATAACAACATCACTCCATGCTTGCCACTACGTGGTACAATCACTGCTTCAGGCGATCTAGTCCCATTATCCTACATTGCTGGATTACTTACTGGCAGGCCTAATTCCAAGGCCACCGGCCCCAACGGAGAAGTGCTAGATGCTGTTGAAGCCTTTAAAGCAGCTGGTATTGATTCTGGATTCTTTGAGTTGCAGCCTAAAGAAGGCCTTGCTCTAGTCAATGGAACTGCAGTTGGTTCTGGCTTGGCTTCCATGGTTCTTTTCGAGGCCAATGTTCTTGGTGTCTTGTCAGAACTCTTGTCAGCAATTTTTGCTGAGGTTATGAATGGTAAACCTGAGTTCACCGACCATTTGACACACAAATTGAAGCACCATCCAGGTCAAATTGAGGCTGCAGCGATTATGGAGCACATTTTGGATGGCAGCGCTTACATGAAGGCTGCTAAGAAGTTGCATGAAACAGACCCCTTGCAGAAACCAAAGCAAGATCGCTATGCTCTGAGGACTTCACCCCAATGGCTTGGTCCCCTGATTGAAGTAATCCGATTCTCAACCAAGTCGATTGAAAGAGAGATTAATTCAGTTAATGACAACCCTCTAATTGATGTTTCAAGGAACAAGGCGTTGCACGGTGGCAACTTCCAGGGAACTCCAATTGGAGTCTCAATGGACAATGTACGTTTGGCTATTGCATCCATAGGCAAGCTCCTATTTGCTCAGCTCAGTGAGCTCGTAAATGATTTCTACAACAATGGACTGCCATCAAATCTCACCGCTAGCAGGAATCCAAGTTTGGATTATGGCTTCAAGGGAGCTGAAATAGCAATGGCCTCCTACTGTTCTGAGCTTCAGTATCTTGCCAATCCAGTCACTACCCATGTGCAAAGTGCGGAGCAGCACAATCAAGATGTTAACTCGTTGGGACTTATCTCTTCAAGAAAGACAGCAGAAGCTGTCGATATCTTGAAGCTCATGTCCACGACTTTCCTAGTGGCACTTTGCCAAGCTATTGACTTGAGGCATTTGGAGGAGAACTTGAAGAGCGCAGTCAAGAATACGGTCAGTCAAGTGTCCAAGAGGGTTTTAACTACAGGTTCTAATGGAGAACTTCACCCATCAAGGTTCTGTGAGAAGGAGTTGCTCAAGGTGGTTGATCGTGAGTATGTCTTTGCTTATGCCGATGACCCCTGCAGTGCTACCTATCCATTGATGCAAAAACTAAGGCAAGTTCTTGTTGACCATGCATTGGCGAATGGAGAGAATGAGAAGAACGCAAGCACTTCAGTCTTCCAAAAGATTGTAGCTTTCGAGGAAGAATTGAAAGTGCTTTTGCCAAAAGAAGTTGAGAACGCAAGAGCAGCATATGAAAGTGGGAATTCAGCGATCGAGAACAAGATTAAGGAATGCAGGTCCTATCCACTTTACAAGTTTGTGAGGGAGGAGTTGGGAACTGAATTGCTCACTGGCGAAAAGGTCCGATCGCCTGGTGAGGAGTTCGACAAGGTGTTTACAGCTATGTGCCAGGGGAAGATCATCGATCCACTGCTGGAATGCCTTGGTGAATGGAATGGTGCCCCTCTTCCAATCTGTTAGAGGGTTTTCTTTTATTAAATAAGTTTGTTGTATTTTTGAACATTGTTTCCAATCCCTTCTATGTTCTTACAGTTTCATGACTATGTACTGTATAATAATTTACGATAAAAAAAATGTTGCGAATGTTTTTTTATTACAGTGTGTCTTTTCTTCCTTAAATTTTGCCGTGGAATTGAAAGGAGGAAAGGTGGTTGGGTGTTTAAATTTATGAGTTCAAACTTCCCACTGCTATTGATGCCTGCACTATTAATATACATGTACTCTTATATCCACGTGTCGGTTGTTGAACTAATTTCGGAAGCAAAATATCTCCTTCGAGGATTTACATGTAATTAATGTCATGTTTGATAATCGGGAATAGACTGATGAGAATGAGAATGAAAGTTTTATTCACACATTTTAGCTGTATGGTTAAAAAGAATGAAGTGGAAATGAGAATGAAGAGTGGAAATGAGAATGAAAATTTATACACTAACTTCATTCTCACATAAGATATGGAAATAAAAAAACAAGGAATGAGAATGAATTTTTTTTCAAAATAATAATATATTTTATTTATTTATTATCTATTAACTATTTTTGCCATCATCACTACCATCACAACTATCACCACCACCACCATTACAACAACCACAACCACCGCCACTATCTTCATCACCATCATCACAACCACCACCACCACCATTATCTTTATCACTATCATCACCACCATCACAACCACCACCACCATTACTACAATCACCATCACAACTACAACCACCACCATTACTATAATCACCATCACAACTACAACCACCATCGCAACCATCATCACAATCACTACCACTACTACCATCACCACCACAAACCATTACCACTACTATATCATCACAATCACCACCACCACCACCGCAATCATCATTATCACAATCACAATCATCATCACTATCGAAATCATTACCGTCGCTACCGTCACTAGAACAACCACAATCACTACTATCAGCTTTATTATTTTTATAACTATTATAGTTTAATAAAATTATTTTTTAATTATTATTTATATTTGTATATAAAATCGGATATTAAAAAATTTAAATTGCATTCTAATTCCTTATTAGTATTTCAAACATAGTATTGGAATACAAATACTATTCCGATTCCTTAATTTTCATTTCGATTCTTGCATTTTCATTCCCATTACTTTATTTCTGATTACCAAATAACACCTGATTGTTTTAATTATGCGATGAATGAAACGTTTTGTTGCATTGCCAAACCAAAAATATAAAGCAAAAAGACACGATGACACGCACTCAGCGTGACACAGCATCGTACACACAAATGACATATTATATTTTAGTACTTAAATTTTATTAGTATATGATTAGGTCCTAAACCAATAAAAAAGTTAAACTATCTTATCTTTTTTTTTTTTTTTTTTTTCATAGTGACAAAACCTAGCATATTTTTTTATTTTGGTCTATCATTACTGAAAAAAAAAACATTTTGAGATACAGTTGCACGTAAAAAAAAAAAAAGTAGACTTCAAAATCCATTTTTTCATCAATTAGGAAAAAAAAAAAACACTCAATATAATGAATGAATGATATTTTGTTAGGATAAATTATAATAATTCTTTTGAGGTATTTTCAAATTATAAATACTATACAAGAGTTTGAAGATTTGATTAAAAAAAAAACGCATACATGTTTAAGAAAATGCTATGGCAACCTCTTTTTGCATTAAGAATTATTTTTTAGTCATGATCAACAATATCAATTTTACTATTTAATTTCAATCAACTGTCTTCTAAATTTCTTTTTAATATTCTTTCTCAAATTTTTAAAAATTCTTAATTTAACTATTATTTTTCTAAATAATAATTAAAATTATTTTAGTTATAACAGATATTTTCTATCGAATTTTTAATTTTTTTTAGCGATTTTTGTAGTTTCATGATACTTTAAGGAGGTTATTGTAATTTATCTATTTTTAAATAATTATTTATAATAATTTTATATTTTGAAAAGTTGTATGATATATAACCTTAAGTATTGTTGTTTATACAAAAAATATATATTTTATATAAACAACTATATTGCTAATATTTAAGATTAAATTACCAATTTACAATTGAAATAGATTATATGTTGTTAGATTGATTGGATAAAAAAAAAGCATTAGAAAGGTTTTGAGACAAAGAGTTTAACACCCATCAAATGATTGTGTTATTAAAAAAAAAAAAAGTAAAAGACAAAATGAAAAATAGATCTAAGAAAAGCAGATTCGCTATTTTTTTTCAAAAAAAAAAAAAAAGATACAAAAAAGAAAAAGTTGAATTTTGTGGTCAATTAGAGTTTTTCAATATTTTTAATAGAACTAAGTTAGTAAAATACTCAAAAAATCATTGAGTATAATAAATTTCGATGTTTTTTTTTTCTAGGCACTAGGTAAAGCATAAACCAGTTCATATTTTTGGTCTCGGTGCCTTCATATATGCATATAAATACGTAAGATAATAAGCACTAGAACATCGGGGAAAAAAAACCCTTAGTTTATGTACTAATTGGTCAAAATTATCAGTGTAGGAACTGTATCATATTCTTGCATCAAATCCAAGAACTGAAGTGAAATTATAAATAAAGACAAAATAGGCTAAATGACGAAAATCAGAGAAGAATTTAAAGATTAGAATACCATGTGTATCATGAGAACGTTTTAATGACTCCAATGTGTAACTGTAACATAGATAAATATTCCCAGTAACAAATATGTTTTCCTGAATCGTGACTGGTTGCTGAAATTAACATTCCAATCCTTTTTTTTTTTTTTCATCTTGCAATAATTGTCACTTGCTAGAGGGCATCGATGCGCATGACAATTACAAACGGTGTCCCAATAGATTTTGTAATCTTCGCCAACTAATTGGAAGGCGACAGCCACGCAATGTAATAAATTAATATCGATATCACGACATCGATGAACATGTTGTAGCGTTCTCTGCACAATCTATGTTTTTAATTAAAAGGTATGTCATTCAGACAATAATTATCTTATGCAATTTATTTATATATATATATAATAAATCAATTATTAAATAGATATTTCATGCATTAAATCAATAGATTTCTTTAGAAATCCAATAATTGTATTTCTATAAATAACTTCTATAAGATAATGATATAAGAATATTAACATTTCTTTTCAATAAGAGGCGATAAATATTACATGTATTCCACAAATCCCGTTGGATCAGAATCATTGTCTGAGCTCTAGATCATGTAGTGATTGGTGGTCGGGATCATGAAAAATTGAAGACCGTTAGTTTATATTTCTGAGACCACAAGAAAATCACATAAATAGTATTTTCCTACCAGTCAATCTTGGCAGAGTTAATTGAATATCAGATAGAGAGGCAGCCATATCAATGCAAAAAGCCAGAAAATTGGTCAGGGCCAGAGATCTGTACGTAGTGAGTGAGAATAAAGGAAAACAACAAAATAATTCGTGCTTACAAGTCCACGTGGAAAACATTGTAGAAATTGTATGTGCACCATGCCCATAACAAGAAGGAAAATGACCCATCATTCAATACTATATGTCTTTTGTGCTAAAGGCAATGGACAATATTTTTTCTAAAAAAAAAACTCATGATATTTTACGGAAAAGATATTCTTAAATGATTATTAATATGTTTAATTGATTTATCTGATCGTTTGCTATCTATCATTATAAGGAACTGCATATATACATTTTTTCTATTTTGCATGATAATTACAGAGACTAAAATTATGATCAGATAATGTTATATAATATTGTAATAGAATTTTCCTGAAATAACCTCAAAAAAGTCTCCAACTTAACCACTGATAATCAATTATATCCCTAAACTAAAAATATTCTTCATTGGATTCTTAAAGTATCAGAAATTCGTCAACAAAATCCTTCCATATGTATATATATCTGTTAATTTGTTTCATTATTTTTACATATCACAAAAAGATTGTGTTGATGAAGAGAATTTGGCTTCTTCTTCTTCTTCTTTTTTTTTTTTTTTTAAAAAAAGAAGAAGCTATGATGATTTTAGATGGATCTACCCAAATTGATAAAAATACCTAATTATATTTTTTAGGGATGGAATAGATCTTCTTCTTTTTCTTCTTTTTTTTGATGAAAAGTCAACGAGATTGAAGTTGATCAAATTAATTGATTTGGAAGGAAATTGAGAATCACACAACAGTTAAGAAACTAAAAAGAGATTCATTTTCCTTATATTTGATCTACCATTTTATGTCCCTCATTATGAATGATATATTATCAATATGTTAATGTTATCGTTAAACACATTAATTTGTATTAAAATGATTATGAATTTAAAACAAGCTAAATCAATAATTCATTTTTAGTCATATAATCGCATTGCTTTTTATTAAATGAAAATATATAAGGTGACGCGTTTGATCATCGGTGATGCTTTCTCATATATATACACATATATATAAATAAGAAATAAGACTAATATGAAATAATGATATAAAAGGATTGATACAATTTGTTATAATTTTTATTGATGATGATTTATACATTTTAAAACCAACAACACACTTTACTACTCTTATTTCAGTAACATGGTGAAAAATACAAATAAATGTGGCAGCATTAACAAATTACTGCCTGAATAATTTAACAGGCGAAAATCAGCTTATCAAAAATATTTAAAAAAAAAAAAAAAAAACTCGTAAGGCATATTATGAGATGACATATTATGGCCTATCTAATTCGAGCGACCACCTTAGCTATTTTAGGACGATCTTTTATGAGATGACATATCCAGTGTTGCATAAGGCATTGCCCTCTACTATGAGAGGGAGAGCTCCTGGCTTATGAACCTATCTTCTTGATGTGTTTTGAATTTTCAAGAGCTTTTTCATCTTTTTTTGGGTACATTTTATTAGGAGTGAGTATTATTCAGTTAAAACCAAAAAACTGAACTGAATTAGTAATTTTGGTTTGGTTTTGTA